GGGGGCACTGGGTACTGGGCGATGGGCTTGGATGATCATTATTAGACAACCGCAGAGTTGGTTATATGTTTTATTATATTCAGTTATATAGCCCTTGGTTATGGGTTATAAAACTAGAGTAACAACATCAATCGGTGGCCGTGATATACCACATCAATTGAAGGCAATTAAGGGCTGAGCCTGTGGGCCATAAAAAACTCAAGATAGTGCAGTTTTACATGGGAAGTCAAAGTCGTTAGGGGGGTTTTGATAGAGAACATCAAGTGGGTAATTGTCTAAGGGAATTTAATGGGTTCTTCAAGGAATTCTTAGGGTTTTAATTGTGGTTAATTTGAATATCAAGTTACTGGGTTTATTAACAAATTTTAACTTATTAGCAAGAAAGAAAAAGCCAAATGCAGGTTTTTCTTTCATTAAACCTAAAATAAGCATCTAAATAATTTTCCACATTTATTAAATATTTTAATTGGAATTTCTAAACTTCTAATTGAGCAAAATTTAAACCCGCATATTAATTCCATTTCTAATTTAAATAGAAAATCAGCTTAATTAATGAGCCTGTAATTAAAAACCAACTTCTATCTGTTTCCATTTAGCAAGAAAACTAAATAAATATTTAATTCACATTCATTAAGAACATAAAACAGTACATGAAATTCCACAATTATCCTTTTTTTTTAATATATTTATTAATTTCAACTACCATTTAGACTGGGAAATATTCCAAAATGATGATTTAATTAATAGACAAGATCTGATTTCATTTGGCAATAAAAATAAATCATTTTGCTGGTGATTATGCCTCAATCAATAAGTATTTAGTTACCATTCCTTCTCCATTGAGAATTCGACTGCAATTCGAGATTCATTTAATGTGCAGACATGGCAACCAACCTGTCTCCAGAGTCAATTGCTGCTTAATTGCCAGAGGAGAGACTCCTTGCCTTACGCCGACGACCTGTCCCTGGGTTCGTGTCCAAGCAATCAATTCCTTAAAGTTTACACAACAATTGCGGTTTAATTAGAGTCATGCATATACTACATTATAAATGCCAAAGCCAGACGACATGTGTGCGAATCTATAGCTGAAGCTGAAGCTGAATCTGAATCTGGTTTTGGTTTTCTCAGAGATAGAGAGACAGAGGGACAGTTTTCAATATTTATTGCTGGGTGTGGCATTCAACAGCAGCAGCAGCAGCAGAGGCAGCCCCTCTACTTTACCAACCAACCACCTGGTATTAAAAAGGGGCTAGTCTAAGGTTCGAAATTCGTAATTAATTTATTGAATGCGTTCGCTTGCTCGTTGGCCTGCCTTTAGTTTAGTTTCACATGTGAATGTGTGTTAAGTCCGCCCGGAGGTTGTAAAATTTTAATGTCCACTTCATTATCTTGACTTGAAAATCTAATTACCAAAAGTGACTGCAGTCAGGTCGCTCGTTCAGCCCAGTTCCGTTCCCTTTTCGGGACATTCTTCAAGTGTTTACTGTATACATATATATCTTTATATATATATGTGACAGTGAATCCGTTTCTGACTTCTTTTCCTTTTTTTTTCCTGGCCTGCAGCTGACGCCACAAAAGTCAACAATTTTCTGGGCTCAATTAAAGAGTCGAACTGAAACCGAAAACTTGGCTGGCTGCCGACTTGGCCGGGCCTTTATTATCTTGATGAGCGGGCCAAACTATTTTACGAGCTCAACAACAAGTTAATTAGCCGTTGGTATTAATGCCCCCAATGGCGGCGCGGCAGTTGCTTGAAACAAAAATTTTATGTTGTCAAATGGATTTTGGCCGCCGCTGCCGCCGCCGCCCTTTCCACTTCCTATCATTAATGAAGACGCCCTGGCCAGGCAATTTATTTGCTTTTCTGTATAATTTTTATTGCTCACTGACTCTTCTCCAGGGACTATGCAAAAATTATAGAAATATATATATATATATAGCAGAGAGAGAAGATGTGTTTGCTAAGCTAATGATTATAATTAGATTGCCTGGAGAAGTGCGTGGACTTGGCCAGCTTAATTGCCATTAAGTCAAAGTCGTGGACCGCTGAGCGTGTGAATTATTTTGTTTATGCCATTTCCGTTGCGCACCTGCAGAGCTTAAAAAAAATGTAAAAAAAAATATTAAAAATCCAACAAATGATAAATGAAATCAACGAAAAATCGTTTCGCCTGGCGAGCTGTGCAAATAATTTTTAATTAAATGGCAATTGCGCATACGCCGCGTGTCCCCGCTAGATGTTAGATAGATAAATCTACAGACAGCCAAGTGCCAGCTGACACAGCTGTTGGCGACGTGTTGCAATTGCTGTTGCTTTTGTTGCCGCTGCAAGTTGCATGGTGCAACAACCACCACTAGTCAATAAAACTGAACAATCCCAATTGTAATTTGCTTGGCTATTTTTATTGAGCCGCAATTTGATTTGCCCGGCAACACCTCTCACAATTGTCTTAGAGCTAAGGCCAAGAGTCAAACACGATCCCAATGACAGCGTTTAAATGTGAAAAAGAGACGTAGAATGACAGGCAAACAAATTAAACGGGCCGAAGAGACCCCAAAAAAAAAACAAGAAAAATCTGAGGAAAAACGTTTTTCGTATAAAATGCGTTACGACAACACGCCCACGCGATATCAATTTGTTGACTGAAGCCAACAACTGCAACAAGTTCGGCCACAATTTATTCGATGATGTTGCATTAAATTGTTGTACGCTTTAGTTTTGTTTTTGTTATTGTTTTTGCTGTTGTTGTTGTTACATCTACCCCCAACCACCCGCTGTGAACTGCGTGGGCGGAAGATACAAAAATACGAAATTAAACAGAAACAAAAAGAGAAAAAATCAAAACAAAAGCAAAACAAATCGAGCCCCCGACAAACTTTGACCCCAAAAAGAGCACAAAATGCAAAGCCAATAGGTCGGAAGTGAAAGGGTTTGGTTTGGGTTTTGGCTTTTGGGTTTTGGGTCCCAGAAGCCCTGGCATTTAAGTTGATGTCTGTACATAAAAATGTGTAATATATTATGATTGATTTATTGAAAAAGTTAACAGAGGGAGTTGCTTAATAAAAGGTTGGAAAAATTAACAGAAAATAATCTTAGTTAAGAGTTGCAAAATCTATAAAAAAAAAAACTTTATAATTCCCTTTCAAAAATATTTATAAAAGCGCAAAATTAATTAACAAGCCATTAATGCCATAAGAACCACTTTGCCTTGCCAATGCCAATAATTCTAAATGAATTTTCCAATCAATCTGCCACACTTTCAGACAGACACACACACACACATTTTCCATTAAATCATTGAAATAAAAATATAAAAAAAAAAAAAACAAAACGACATTGATTCCATAGACTGGCTCTTGAAAATCACTTTCCCAGCAATTTGCGATTGATTTCCGCTTAGCGCAGCAAGTAAAAGTTCAATTCATGACATTTGGTCGACAGTTTTATTGGTGAATAATTGGTCATCATTGATGTATTTGTACGGCGAACCGAATACCAACGAACCCGTCCATGATTGATCTATTCAATGCCAATGAAAATGAAAATCGAAACAAAGCAGCTGCCACACAGCAACATAGCAGCAGCCACACAGCCACAAAGTAAAAGAAAAACTAGAGAAGAGCAACTGAAAAAACAAGAAATCAGCTTAGTCACAAGGGGGATAAAGAGGTGGGTGGGTGTCTGTTTGGTTTGTTCTGGAAGTGGGAGTGGAAGTGGAACATAAATTATATGATATGTTTGTCCTTTGGCGAAAGGTGTGTAGGGGGGGTGATGAGATTGGGCGAGGCCTTCTGGATTAGGGGAACGATTATACCCGGGGTGTGAAAACTATGAAAGGGTATGTCGGTTTCTTGGAAAGATGGGGTTATTAAGCCGATTTTTGTTATATTTTAAAATATAAACATAAACTAGTAACTATTACTAGTAAATAAAAATGATCCTTAACTTAGAAAATCTCAAATAACATACTTTTATGTCCATTAACTTGGAAAGATAATGATATATCTCTTCAGTATTATCAATCAAGTATCTTAATAAGAACTCAAAATCCTAAACCCACAAACTAGCCTTCTTAATATATATGTTCCCCATCTTTTGCCGCCACTCGTTGACGAGCCCAGCAACCACTAAAATAATCCATTAAAGATAAACTAAAAGCAAACACTAAACTTTAGCGCTAAGCCAGGGGGAAACCGCAGTGCGCCCACAACACACACCCAACCGCCCACCCACTCACTCACTCACTGGGCTACAGCCCATGAATGGATTGATAATCAATCATTTATCAATGAGCAAGGGAGCACCAAAAGCGCGGCACACGCCTCTTTCGGGGAAAAAAGAAAAACTGTGTGTATAAGCTTTTAGTTTGCGTTTAACGCCTGATGGATTCTCCAAAGCGGAAGCAAGTTTTAGGAAGGAGATGGGGGGTTTCCCTATGATGGAGTGATATGTGTGTTGCAAGAACGTAGGAGCAAGAATGCACGCATTATAAGCCCTTTACCTAGATGATAAGAAGTTGTGGGAATTTCCCAAAATGGGTGAAGGGAAGTTGAAACGAAATGAAGTGAGGGCGGGTGGCATGCAACGTGGTGTTGAACAAACCGCAGCTGCTACTGGGATTTAATTAATTTTCTAGCATTCTGAGTTTGATTTGAATCTCGTCTCTCGGCTGTGCAACGTCATCAACATCAATTGTGGCAATAGCCGCGGGTTCTATTGATTTGTGTGAGAGATATATATATTATGGTGGGAAAACCAGATTTTCCTGGGAGGTTTTCCGCTGTACAAAGAGTAGATTGCAAGGGGAGTAGGAGCAGGGTTGGCTATGGGTTATATCATCTATTTTGCATAGACATATGCGGGCTCACCATATGCGGCCAGACATTTCAAATTTATGCAATTTTCCGGCCGCTCTCTAAATTATTGAAAATAAACGTTTTTCGCTGACTACTAAAAATTCTCCATTCCTATTTTTTTTTTTTTTTTATTTTTCCAGAAGCAATGCAGAGAAGCGGTGGCGCCAAACAAAATGTGAGGATAAACCAGCGTTGGAGCCTTCTGGGATTATGCTAAAAATGCTCAAAGTGCGATATAAATTTTTATGAGTGTACGCGTTGAATTTTTACGACTGTCTGCGCGGGGGCGGGGCAACAAAGGAAAATTAAAGAAAAATGCTCAAGGGTGCTCGATGGCGACGATTTAAAACAATACAAAGAGTAGCTTAAAGTGCGCAAAGTGGAAATTGCATGCAACCAGGAGGTGTGGCACTCCCGTCGAACAGCACGTGACGAGCCAAACTAATAGACGCCATTTTGTAAGCGGTAATTGGCAGGGCACACGTAAGCTTCACTCGTCTTACGTAGAGGAAGGAAACCACCCAGATACCACCCACAAATCAGCAAGAAATCAACCCAGAAAACCATTCACCTCATCTTTAACCTCAAATTCCCATCATGGCCGTTAGCAATATTGTCTGCGAGTGGCTGAGAGCTTTGGGCCTGGCCCAATATGCCGAGAGCTTCCTGGACAATGGCTATGACGATTTGGAGATCTGTAAACAGGTCGGTGATCCCGATCTGGACGCCATTGGCGTCGAGAATCCTGCCCATCGACACAAGCTGCTGAAGAGCATCCGATCGCTGAGGGAAAAAGGTGCTGCCTCTGTCTACTTTATGCTCAACGATCCGAACTCTCTGTCCGGTAGCATGGAGATCCTCTGCGAAACACCGCCCAGCAACGAACTGGAGCTCGTCCTGCGGGAGCAACTGGAAACGGACGGAGTACGACTCACGGCGCATCCATATTCGACACCGGTAAGTTTTTTTTTTAAATTTTCCTAGATTTAATAAGGGATTTTAGGAAGATGGTCAAGGGAAAAAGAGCTTTGGGAGTCCTTTTTCTTTCTTTAAAAATAAGGTAAAAAATCTATAAAAATTAATCTTGTCACATTTCCTGCACTTCAAGAACCTTAAATTCTTTCCCTTTCCCAAAACCAAAGTTGAGCTAGTGAAAATTTGACTTGGGGAAACTCGTGCCGAGCATCATTAACATGCCAAATTCGGGCTCCCCTTGGCTGATACAGAATCCGAGGCGAGGGCTTAAATATCTATTAAAAGTATCTGCCCCTGCTCTGCCTGTCATAAAACTTTCAATCCAGCATGTTGAAATAGCCCGGACAGACCCGCTGCATGCCAAACTTTTGGCCAGAGCTTTCTATTACGAAATCCAATTGCAAACAAAACTGAAATTGCACTCGCCCTGGTCCCCTAAACTATGGGAAGTCCTCTACTCCTCCTTTCCACCATCTATTTTTTGGGGTTGGGTTCCGGTTGCCCATTGACCGCCCACAGCAAGAAGGAAAGAGCTGTGGTGCTCCCTGGCGAAAAACTATTCAATGTCAGTTTACATACTTAAATTAAAATTCTCGACATGCGAAGCAGAATCAAATAATGGAGTAGGGCCAAAAGGAAGGAATACCAGTTCACGGGCGGAGGAGGGGTATCCCAGGGGCAGTTGCATCGTTGGCAAATGTCAACCCGGTCCGGTCCGCACTTGACAGTAAAATGGAGAACATTTAAACAGAGGCAAAGCAGCAGAACTCCACCTTCGTTTCTTGGCCTTCCTTCTACTCATCCCCATCCTCATCCTCATCCTCATCCAGAGATCCTCTAGTGCTCAACGCCAACTCTCCGCTGACCAGTTGCCTTTTGTATGGGAAGCTTTTAGCTTTGGCTTCGCCAGTGCAACTATATAGTATATGGTATATCCCCTTATCCTCCGACTCGAGATTCGAGACTCGAGTGTCATATTGCTCCATGCCGGTCCCCATTGTTCTCCACTCAGCGAGTGCTATCCCTGTCTCTCTCTTCTCTTGCCCCACATCACTAGTATCCCTGAATCCCTGAATCCCAGAAACTGCAGCTCCAACTCCTGGGCAAAAGCCATCTCCCAGGTAGGCGACATATCATGTGTTACCAAAAAGGCACCGATGCCCCCAAAAATGTTTCGTTTTCTGACCAGCAAATGCACAAGGTGCACTGGGAAAGAAAGTTGGTTTTTAAGATATAAATTAAAGAAATAAGAAATAAAGTTTAAGTAATATAAAATAATCGAAAAATCATCGAGGAATTATATAAAAAAGGGGATATAAGCTTGAATATCTTTCTTTTTCCTTACCCAAACTTCTAGTAAATTTCTCCCAGTGCATAAGGGAGAATTTAAAAAATACCTTTAGCCCTCTGGCTTCAGGTTCTGGGTTCTGGTTTTATTGCCTCAAGCCGAGCCCTTTGCATTTGGGAGCCGGCTTGAGTGTAATTAAAATAATGCCAAAGAGCAGACAAGTTGCCGGGGATAAATGGCAACATTTGATGGACTTCCTTCGAAAGCTATGAACGATGGGAAAAAGGCTAAGAAGATAAAGCGACAGGACCGGCGGAAGTTTGATTTATTATGCAAAAATATTTCGCAGCTTTAAGTTATGGCCCGCCCAAAACGAAATCTTAGAAGATGCAAACCCATGGACGAAGAATTTTGCACATCAGTTCGGTGAAATGTGATTTATTTATATGAGGCATGGGGCATGGGGCATGAGGCAAGGGTAAGAGTATGGGTAAATAGCAGATGGAATTCACGGCAACGTTGGCGGCACAAATCACGTCATTGAGTTGTTTTCATCAAAAGGGCAGGCATGCAGAGGAGATTCTCAGTCTCAGTCTCAGTCTCAATCCCTTTTTCATTCATTCATTCAGCCAGTCAGCCAGTCAGTCAGTCAGTGGCTCTCCTTTAGCTGTATTTTTATCCCGAAAAACTATCTTCTTTGGGGCCTGACGACCGACAACCGTCGACGTCTTGCAGTTTTGTATCTGCGTATATATCGCTGGCATACAATTTTTATTTATTACTCATTCAGCTGCAAAATTGTTCCTTAATTGCCCATATCAGCTGAGAAATGAAATTTATTACCTGGCGTGTGTATATCGCCAGTGTCCAGTCCGTCGTTGCCGCACCGCGAGTAAGTCTCCTCCTTTGGTGGAGTCTCCTGTCTGTTTGTATCTTCGCCTGTCTGCCGCATCATTATCAGGCTGAACCCCAAGTTGAAGTTGGCAGTAGGAGAACTGGCAGCGGCACAACATCGGGAGAGATATATACCCCCAGCTTCATCGACATCATTAGTTTTGTGCGCCGTGCCGACAACGTTTTGTATATTTACTTAATATTGCATTCGGTGGTGCTCTCTTGGCCGAAGTGAAGCCATGACCATTTATCTCCCCAGTCCGTGGAGCAGCCTTCTGTGATTTCTGATTTCTTATGCCAATTTACTCTGGGACTGGTCGGTTGAGGTTGCTCCACATTGTTGGATGAGCCAGCCAGCCAGCCAGCCAGTCAAGCTAACCAAGCCTCATCCTCATCATCCAACATCATCATCATCATCATCTGTAGAGCTGTATGGCCAAAGAGCCAGCATAGATCAAAAGACAGTTTGCTTTAGTTTTCCCTCCGTTGCCGTTGTATAATTTTATTTTATGTGCCTTTAGCCTTGACCAGGTCAAGTTGGTTGAGTTTCGGGGTCGTCTCCTTCTGTGTATATCCCCCTCTCTCCCTTCCCTCTGTATTTTATTCATCCTGCCAGAATGACCGAGAAAGAGAGAGAGAGAGAGACCGAGGCAACAAGCGAACCGATGGCTGACTTTAAGTTATTTCTGCACTGGGACTTTATTGATTTGTCCTCTTTGATCTTCTGCCTGAGCTGTGGCATGATTTCATTTTTATGAACTTGAGTTTGGATTGTCTTTTGCCCCTTTATCTCTCTGTTCCCCCCCTCACAGACTTACCCCTGGATTTTGCGTAGCGTGGCAAGTAATTGCCGCAATTCAATTTGTTCATTTTGCCTACGTGCTGTGTGGCTTTATTATTGTTGATTTTACTCGCCCATTATGGCGAAACTTTTTGTAGGAAATTGGTCAGTCGGTCTGGTATATATGGTATATAGTCTGGTCTGCTCATTTACTTTCGATTATATGCTGCCCCTGAATTGAAATTAATGGGCAAATATAAATCATGTTTTTGGGAATTATGCCTTTTGGTTTCACATCTCCAAGAAAGGCCATAAATAACATTGGTTATCTCCGAAACTAATTTGCTAGAAAAACGGAAATCGCTTTAAAATGTGAAAATATTTTTAGGTATTAAAAGTGCTTTGAAGTTTAACCCTTGATATCCCATTATTTGTAAAGGCAACTTAAGTTTGTTGTTGACTTAACCAAGGGTTATGACCATCTCTGACAGATTTCCTTTAAATCTTCATTTGGCATCCAATTAATTATTTGGGAAAATCTTTAGCAGCTTGAGTGAATTTTCTTTCATTTACCCGCATTTTCTTTCATATCTGCATACATCTTGAGCCTGCATTTCCCAGCAGCTAGAATTAAACTTTTGTCATTGCACTAATTAAGACAGAAAGTGAGTTTTTCCACCCCTATCTCTCGCTCTCTTCCAACATCAAAGCAGCCAATTTTCCAACTCTAACCCCATAGAAAGGGGGAAATTTGCATAGCTTTCACCATTCAACTTAATCAAGCATTTAACACCAAAAAGTAAAACTGCGAAACCATTCATTGCTCATAAAAAATTAAAGTCTAATTGTGCGCGGCGGGCGGCTGGAGGTGGGTGGCGGCTAAAAAGGGAAAATGAGGAAATTGGTGGAAATGTTGGGAAAAGGGAATCCATGTCCAGGGCAACATTGTATTTTTTGTTTTGTTTTCCTTTCACACCGCCTGCCATCCGCTTTTGGTGGACCCTAAACTGAATGGTGGGGAAAAGCGGGAAAAACCCTCTTCAAAAAATATCCTTCTTCTGCTTCCACACAGGGGCAGCACTGAACACTGAAATTCGAGCAACAGGGTTGGGGGTGAGGGACAGGACAACGGCAAACCGAAGAACCGTTTGCTAACGTGCTGCGGCTGCGTGCTTTTTAATTAATTTAATTGCAATTTAATTACGCTTGCTATTTAATTAAACACATTGAACAAGCGAAAGCGAACAAGTTGGCCGTTACGTTACGTTCTGTTACGTTTGCTCAAGCCCAATTGCATGTAAGGGGCTTTGGCTTTAGTTTCATTTAGGAAATGAAGGGGCGGGGATCCTTCTTCTTGGCCCTCTAAAAATTTGGCAATAGTTTTTCCTGATAGCTTAATTAGACTTGACTGTAGAAGTTGTAATTGATTTGTTAGCCGGAAGAGGTTAAAGTTTGGAGTGCAAATGAACTTTCCAAATTGAAATGGATTTTAGTAACTGAAAATCTTATTGTTAGTGGTTCTACCTCTTACTTATTTATATAGTTAGAAATACCTGAGAATGTAATGGCCTTTGCCACACCATTTTCGTGATGATGCTACATACATGTTGCATCCTGGCTTTCAGCTGTGTGTTGCTCCCCATAGGCCTAGATAATTTGCAGCTCCGTTGATAATTGACGATTAATTTAATAGAATGCCCAAGTTGGGACTTGTGGCAACTACTCTTTATTTTTGTTGCTGTTTTTTCTTCTACTTTCCTAGGCTGCCGCGTTGTCGGCATGCTCAATTGTGCGAAGTTATTTCGCATTCGCCGCAAAGTGGCACCAAAATGCTGTCGTCGCCTGTCGCCTGCCTGTCGTGGCGGTTGCCTGTTTCCTCGGTTTGGTTAGTTCTAAACAACTTGCCACATGCTTCGAAGCTGGAGCTATGGAGAGCCGTGGATCCATGGACTTGGCCTTACTTGGAGTTTATCTCATATTTCACATGCCGCCGCAATTACTGCTGCGGCTACTTACTGC